ATTTTTTAATAATATATGTTATTTGCCATGTCCCAATTTATGTGGCATTAATTGATAGATTTGTTGGAGTCGAGAGATTTATTTTGTTAATTATTGTAATTTATAGTTTCTTTTTCGTCAATTTCAAACAATATATGTTTATCATATAATCCATTTTATGTGGTACCAATAGAATTTAGAGAGTCAATTAAATTTTTTATATAAGTTTTAAATAATTAAGCTGTTAATTATTGTAATGTATAGTATTACTTATATTATTTTTAAATATATTTAAATATTATATGTTAGGTTTTTTATCCTAATTTATATGGCATTGATAGAATTTAAAGTGTCAAATAATTGTTAATTATTGTAATAGATAATATGGAGTATTTAAGTCATTTATAGTATAGTAATTAATATATAATATGTAGTATTTAAGTGTTATATTATGGAATTTGAGAAGTTATTGAAATTTTTATATGATTTTAAAAATATTTTAAATTGTTAGCTATTGTGATTTGTAGTACTTTTTTTTAACATAATTTTGAAAAAAATATTTATTACTCTGTTTGTTCTAATTTATGTGGCACACGCAGAATTTCAAATATTAACCATTTTTTATATGTCTCTTTAATATATTAAGTTGTTAATTATTGTATTTTATAGTACATTTTGAACCTAATTTTTTAATAATATATGTTATTTGCCATGTCCCAATTTATGTGGCATTAATTGATAGATTTGTTGGAGTCGAGAGATTTATTTTGTTAATTATTGTAATTTATAGTTTCTTTTTCGTCAATTTCAAACAATATATGTTTATCATATAATCCATTTTATGTGGTACCAATAGAATTTAGAGAGTCAATTAAATTTTTTATATAAGTTTTAAATAATTAAGCTGTTAATTATTGTAATGTATAGTATTACTTATATTATTTTTAAATATATTTAAATATTATATGTTAGGTTTTTTATCCTAATTTATATGGCATTGATAGAATTTAAAGTGTCAAATAATTGTTAATTATTGTAATAGATAATATGGAGTATTTAAGTCATTTATAGTATAGTAATTAATATATAATATGTAGTATTTAAGTGTTATATTATGGAATTTGAGAAGTTATTGAAATTTTTTATGTAATTTTCATATATATTACTCGGTCATGATTTATGTGATACAAATGAAATTTCAAAAGTCAATGAATTTTTTATAAGTTCTTTTTTATATTAACTTGTTAATTATTGTGATTTCTAATATATTTACGTAAAACATACTCTAAATACAAATAATTAGCAACTTAAAATATATAAAAACATACTAAAAATTTGATTAACTTCAAATTTCATATGTACCACATAAATTAAAACAGAAACAGTAACATATATTGGGCCCCGTGCTGGCACGGGGTCCTATATCTAGTATGTATATATAGAAGGGTTATTTTAGTTTTCAAAAAATAATTTTCTGCTTCTACTTGTGTTTTTAAGAAGTACAATTTTTTAGCTTCTTTTCAATCGCAGAAAAACTACTTCTGCTTCTATTTAAAACCAGTTTTAAGGATTTGTCAAACACTTTTTTTAAAAAAAAAAACGTACTTTTTTTCTAAAAGGAAATTAATAAAATTTAACCTCACAACAACAATGTCAAACATGCTCTTATTCAAATCAAATAAGTGCTTAAATCTTATTGTAAACAAATAAATTTAATGGTCTAAGATTTGAACCTTTTAGATTTTAGACCTCCATTAAGTGTAAATAAATGAGGCGTAAGACAAACACTCTTAGAAAGTAAAATCCACATAATCACTTGTACCAAATCTTATCAAGGATTAATAGTAAATTAAAGAGTGTCTTTATCTCAGTGGAGTTGAGGGTGGGGGTTGGGTAAGTGGTGTTGACTTTGTACTTGTGATTATTCTTCCGGTATAAATCTCTTAAGTTAGTAATGATCTCTCGTGTTTTGTAATGATCTTTTCTCTTTTGTTTAAAGAAGATCTCTTGTGATTAAAGTTAGCGTCTCTTACAATTTATAAATATTTATAGAAGAAAAGTTAAAAATTTAACTATCGTACTTATAAGTAAGTTACATACTTGACTCATTGGTTTGGATTAGTTTTAAGCTAGAAGTGGTAGCTTAGGATCACGTTTGAACCCCAACCTCAAACACCAAAAGAGGACGGGGAACCAACATGCCATTAGATTAATTTTGTCTCGTAGTGTGATTTTGTTATAGATATATATATATAATTCAACAAAGTGGTGTCGCTTGACACCTCTTTGCTCAACGTGGGTCCGCCCGTGCGTGGATGGAGTGTTGGTGCTAAACTTGATGAGCCTTTAACTAAGTACATGAGCTCCTCATGGAGTGATAAGATTGTTATGACTAGCAATTCATAGATCTTTTAGTTTACTAAGTTATTAATAAAAAGAATCTCTTAGTTTAGTAAACATTTCTTGTGTTTTATATAAAATCATCTAGCAATGTATAAATCACTCCCTTCTTCTAAAGCCAATAAATGGAATCCTTCCATGATCATTATTCTATGAACCTGATTATGCATTTATTTCTTATATATTTTTCCCCTCTCGGTGAAAATTAGCTTACTGCTTTGGTTGAAAAACACCTATATTGTTGTGTTTTTGGGTTTGGGTTGAATGATCTTTTATCAATCTGGTAAAGATAAATTTATTGTGGCGATGCTACTTATAGCTTGTTTGGCCTTGCTTCTAGGAGGTTGAAAGTGCTTATTTTTATCAAAAATTGCTTGATCCTTTTCTTTTTTTTGAGGTATTTGGTTAAGCTTTTGAGAGAAAATAAGTATTTTTGAGGGATAATAGAAGTTGTTTTAAAGCCAAAAATGTAGTTTTTCCCTAAGACACTTCTGAGAAAAAATACACTTAAAAACACTTTTTAAAAGTTAATCAAAAGCGTTTTTTTTTTTAATTCATTCACCAAACTCAAACTATTTCTCACCATAAAGGAAACATTTTTCAAACTATGCTGATTTTCAAAGTTTGTCTGGTCTATTATAACACGAAAGTACTAATACTATATTTACCCTTTTTCAAGGAGATTGGAAGGTGGATCTCTTATCAAACAGTGAGAGAGACAAAAAGAGATGCATCTTCGTGGCTTTGAATTTATAGATGTATATATCTTGGCGTGTTGCCTCTTATGTCCTAAGAAGTATGATTATTCATTTGTCTATATTTTAGGATCAAATTGCAAGCTGATTTTGCGATATATGTTGATCAACTGAATTAAAAGTTGTGTTTCAAGCTTCCTAGTGAATTAAACGTTGATAAAGTTATTGTGGAGATGATACATGCCTTGATGTTGCTTGAGTTAACCACGCGAAGAGGAGATGAGTAGACACCTCACTGAGGAGGTGTGACAGATTTGGATACAACGGATATGAAGAGGGGTAGAGGTAAGCCGAAGAAGTGTTGGGAAAAGGTGATTAGACAACATCTGACACAATTTTATTATACTGAGGACATGATCTTAGATAGGATGATATGCAGGTTGCAGATTAGGACATAACGTTGGTAGGTATTTGAGTTTTGTCTCGCTTTTGGTGGGATTAGGTTTTCGTGGTAGTGTGGTAACACCATATCTGTCACAGTATTATTCTAGCCATGTAGTTTCTTGTCATTGATATTTGTTACCATATGTTGTCTATTGTATTTCATATAGGATAGAACGTTGGTAGGTATTTGAGTTTTTATAAATGTTCTATACTCTTATTAATTGACATGTTTTTTTTACTGTCGTATTTCTTTTCGTAATTACTTTGTTTTGTTGCACTTGAGTTGATAATTTTCCGAAAAATAACCTCTCTACTCTATGGGATAGAGATAAGTTCTGTAGATATTCTACCTTCGTAGAAATACCACTTGTTAAATTGTATTGAATATGTTATTCACCTCAAAGAAAAATGAAGAACATCCTTTTAAATTAATGCAAAAAAAATAAAAAAAATTAGTACGCTTGTGCCTTTCAATGTCAATAACTAAAGCACATGGCCAAAAGATCTGTTAGGGTTGTATTTGTCCTAATATATCTTTTAGGCTTATAATTATATGGTATATATACTCTCTAGAGCAATATAAATATTGATAAGAATAGTTTTATATTCATAAAAGAGAATCGCCAAAAATATCTATTACAACAAATAATGACATATTATGTATATGTAATATATGTATAATAAAGTTGTTATAAACATTTAAAAAATTATTTCATTTTCTTTTTTCCATCAAATTGCATTAAATCGTTGTTTTTGGATGTATTTAAGTATTTACTATTATTTTATGTAAAATAATTGACTAAAGTTTTTTTTATGTGATACACGTGTATAAAAGTCTCAAAATATTTAACGAATATAATACCTTGTATGAAAAAGGTCTGAATTTCTAAAAAAAGACGATAATAAATAAGTTGGATGAAACCAAAATGATGTTGATGTTGACAATTCTTTTGGATATAATATTGTTATTGAAGTAATGCAAGAAGGCTAAAATCTTGAACAAAAGAGTAACCGACCAAAATGGAAAGTTGCGATCGAAGAAGAATGAACTTCATTTGAGAAACATGAATTTTTTGGACATGTAGCGCTAACACTGAAAGCCAGTGGGGTACAAATGAATTTTTATAAGAAAAAATAACAAGAAAAACAAAGTCGTTAAATATAAAGCACCAGTGGTGGTACAAGATTTTTCGGAAAAATCTAATGTTTATTATATGGAGATATAATCTCTCGTAGTGAATACTATCACTCTAGGATATCTAATAAGTTTGGCGGCACATGAGAAACTTGATATGCGCTTTTTCTTTGTATTCTTCTGGAAAAACCTTGGAACTAGTGACGACAAATGAATGAATTGAATTGAATTTGAACGGATTAAATTGTAAGAGTAAACTTAGCTATATTTCATGCAAATAACACTCAAAGGCTCGGCCCAGTCTACACATATAAAAAATCTATCTCTAATTGTATATAAATTCTCTTTGAAAATTTAGTAACATAGTTTTGTTCCATTTCTTTGGATTGTGAAGAAAGGAATTTTATTAGGTCAAAAATTGAGATGGATTTGACGGCTGCTCAAACTCCGGGAGGTGCCTCCGGCGGAGCTATGGATTCCGGTGATTGGCGGACTCAACTACCGTCGGGTTCTCGTGAAAGGATTGTCAACAAGATGTAAACTTTTCAAATTTTTTGCAGATTGTTCTTGTGTTTTTGTTAAACATTTTGGATTTGGAATTTAGGATTTTTTTTTTGTGTTTTAGTCAGTTTTTTTGATAATTGTAGTGTCTCGTAGATCTAGACTAATTTCATGGGATATCTGACACAAGTGAAGAAATTACCTTTGTGTTTTTTTTGTCTCTACTGAAATTTGAACCCGAGAATGATTCTCGATTCGATTCACTTTATTGACTTTTAACCTGATCTTTTGTTGTATAGAACGAAGGAATTGAAGAGGCATATTCCATTCTCTGGGCAAGACGGAGAATCGGAGCTTATGAAAATTGCAGTGAAGTTTGAGGAAAAGGTATATAATGCTGCTACAAGTCAGGTATATATGCAGTGTAAACTCGTTATCTATTTATTTGAATGATGCAATTCAATTGACGTTATAACTTGCATTCGTTTTTCCAGTCATCTACACATGTTGTATGCATTCTAACTTAAATTTATCTAATATTGCAGGAAGATTATCTGAGGAAAATAGCTATAAAGATGCTGACAATGGAGATCAAATCAAAGGATGATGTCGTAGAGGAGGTGATGGTTTAAAAGGAGCAAAACAGTGACGTTGTTGGACACAAAGAGAATGTCAGAGTTGGGGAAAATGAGGTAATTTTATATTTTTTTTCCTTTCTCGGAAGCCTTTTCTCTATTAAAATGGAAGAATTACCACTGATTTATTTGTTGTTAATGATCCAAATTGAAGTTTTGTAATTGCTAAGTTGAATAGCTAGCAGAAGAACACAAGGCCACTACATTTTGTAGTCACTAGTCAATAGCTTGAGAATTTATAAGACCTCATTTGTTTTCATTAAGATTAAGTTGTCTGAATTTGAATGATTAAGATGACGTTTCTAGCTCTGAACACTGGATGATTAAGATTATTTCTCAGCAACTCTGAATCTGCACAATGATTAAGATTAAGAGAACGAGTTCTGGTGCTAAACTTGATGAGCGTTTAGCACAAGTTGAGGAAAGATTAGAGAAAATTGAGGCTCATTCGGAAAAAGGTGGAGACATTGTTGGTTGATATTAACAAAAAATTGAACTATTTAGTGAAGATGTGTGATGCTAAAGTTTCTAGGGACATTAAATGTCAAACTAAGGATATGAGCTCCTCGTGGACTGATAATGGCCGATCAAAGAGGAAACATAGAGTAGCTGAGATGATTAGGCAGTCGTGCAAGCATCGGCAATTGGGAAGAGGTGTTATAGCACAGTAGTTCCTCCGGTTGCTTTGCATGATAATCGTGTTGAAAATGACCAAAGGAAGTTAGATGATGTAGAACCAAATATTTGATGATGATTTCTTATGTTCTTTTTTCCTAGACTCTTAAGAGATTGTTATGACAAGCAGTACAATCTGTAATATAAATCTATCTCTCATGTTCTATTTAAATGAATTATCCTATGTTTATAAAGTAAATTAACTCTTGCAATGTATAAATCTCTACCCTTCTTCTAAAGCTATAATTTTTTTGCAGGAATCTTAGCTCCAAAGAAGCTATTAGGAGGCCTTCAGTATTTTTCAATTAAAATGAGTGAGTCATTATTTACATCCATCATATGTTTTTGACAAGTTTTTGGGAAGTCGATAGTGTTTATTTTTCTCAAAGTTGCTTGTTCCAGAAAAAAAATTGAGGTGTTTAATCAAACTTTCGGGAGAACATAAGTGTTTTTGAGGAGTAGCAGAAGTTGTTTTGAAGCCAGAAAAGTATTTCTTCCCTAAGACATTTTTAAGAAAAATAGGCTTGGAATACTTTTTAAAAATTGGTCAAACACTAATTGTTGCTCAAAAGTGTTTTTTTAAATTTATTGACCAAAAGTACTTTTTGAAAACTAAATTTTAGAAGACAGTACTAATATTATATTTACCTTTTTCAGAGGAGATTGGATGGTGGAGCTCTTATCAAACAGTGAGAGAGATGAGAAGAGAACTATTTTCAGTCGCTTTGAATTTATAAATTTATATATCTTGGCTTGTTGATTCTGTCCTTGGAAGCTTTACTATTCATTTGTTTGTATTTTAGGATCAAAATTGCCTTTATGTTGCTTGAGATATGTTGATCAACTGAAGTAAATGTTGATTGTCAAGCTTCCTAGTGAAAGTAAAACATTTTTCTTGTTTTGACATCATGGAATATGATATCAATAATTGTTATCAGAAAAAAAAACCTTTACTTCAACATCAAATGATTTTTCACCACATATATATATATATATGTATGTTGTTGGATTTCACAGGGTATGTTATTGTTGTTGCATTATATATATGCATTGTTGTCAAGTTTAATATATGACTTGGGCATGTGAAGAGGAGATTGAAAAATTGAGGAGGTCTGTGAGGTCGGATACAGTGGGTAGGAAGAAAGGTAGAGGAAGGCTGAAGAAGTATTGAAGAGCGATTATTAGATGGGATATGACACAATTTTAGTATACTGAGGATATGATCTTAGATAGAATGGTATGCAGGTCACGATATAGAATATAACATTGGTAGGTATTTGAGTTTTGTCTCACTTTTGATGGGACTGTGATAGCATCGTATTTGTCGTAGTATTATTACAAACATGTAGTTTCTTGGTTTTGATATATGTTACCATTTATTGTTCATTGTGTTTTAGCTATCACATTATTTAGTTGTTGTTACTATTTTTTTTCTCTAAATTCTCTACTATTTTTTTTAATTAATTGATATGTTTTTTTCACTGTCATATTTTCTTTTCATAACTATTTTGATTTGTTAAACTTAAGTCGATAGTCTTTCAAAAATAACCTCTCTACTTCTATAGAGTAGGGGTAAGCTTTGTGTATATTTTACCTTCATTAGAATTCACTTAATTGCAGTGAATATATTATTGATGTTATTATGAGTTCACATCAAGAAAATGAAGAACATCCTTTTAAATTCATCCAAAAAATATTTTGTTAGTAAGCTTTTGTTTCCCTGAGTCAATAACTAAAGCACACGGCCAAGAGATTCAAGTGTTGTTATCAAAAAATATTTGTTACAACAAATAACAACATATTACGTATATGTAATATATATTGTATAATAAAGTTATTATCAACATTTAAAAATCATTTCATTTTATTTTTCTATATCAATTGCATTAAATCATTATTTTTTGTTGTATATAAATGTTTATTCTTTTATGTAAGATGACTAAAGACTTTTATGTGATATACGTGTATAAAACTCTCAAAACATAATAATTAATAATACATCGTATGAAAAGATTTAAGTTTCTAAAAAAGATGATAATAAAGAAATCTCAATAAGTTCGATGAAACCAAAATGATTTTTAGTTTAATGTTGACAATTCTTTTGGATATAATATTTCTATTAAACTAATGCAAGAAAACTGAAATCTTGAATCAAAATTCTATTGATAAATGTAGATAAATGAGGGACTAACCAAAATAGGAACTTGCAGTTGTAACGATCTGATTCCGTGTTAGGGAAAAGCCAATAGGGCAAGAAAACTTTTGAGTAGTAACTTGGAATTTCCTAGCCTAGTCCAGATTTGGACGAAATCGGAGTCTGTGAGGTCTAGGAAAATCAGGTAGCAATTAGTTGATCTAATTATAAATTCGATCACATGAGTAGATAGCTAAAACATTAAGAAACCCGTACGACTTTACGGAATCAAATTCGGGCGAGTAGAACTCCCGAAACTGATCTTAGCGTGAATGAGTATTTTCAGAGTGTCATGGGATGAAGGTGTGTTGTGAAATGGGGGTTTGAAGTTCTTAATTTTTCTCACTGTTTCTTGCAAGCCGCTAAGGCGGAATTTTCCCGCCAGGGCGGGGCCGCTATAGCGGGATGAGGTCTGATGTGGCGGGAAAGTTGCAATTTAAGTCGAAAATAAACCCCAAAATCATTTTGTTCTGCACTTTTCGACTTTGAGAGCTAACGAACGACCCCAGGTGTTTTCTTGACAGTTTTCCACCATTCTTGAGGCTAAAGGTAAGGTTTTCACTCCCTGAATCCGCTTTTCGATTCGTAGAATTTAGTTTCTTGGGTAATTATCGATGGGGGAGGATTTTGATCAGTGATTTATGGTGGAAGAAACCCTAACCTGGGTATGGAGATCAAGGGTTTGGCCTAGAGTTCATAATGTTGATTATAATCCAGGTAATTAGGCCTCATTTATTGATCCTTGCGTTAATTATATGTTTTTAGACCACGAATAAGCGGGAAGAATCTGGAAAAGAAGGATTCAAGTGCCTTAGGGGATTCAAACTTGGATTCGAGGTAGGTGATGGTTGTGATTTCATGTTAGTGTGATATATATTTGCAATTGCTCATTATAATGCATGTATGTATGTATGTGAATGTTGCATTATTGATCACCCTAATAGTAAATGAGGATAATTAAATAATTGTATGCCATGAATCTGTCACCCCCCGAGCCTACACCCCAGACGTGGCTGGCACTCGAGAACCATTGCTAGCCCCAAGCGAACACTTGGCCTGACTTACTTATTCAGCGGAAGACTCTAAGCATTATTACAATGATCAACTACACTTTTACTCAATTGTTTAATAAAATAACTTAGAACGTTTAAAGGTCAAATATTCAACTTGGCCAAAATGGCAACTCAAGTCTTAACATATGAAATAATAATGTAAAGGCAACTGAACTACTAACTGTCTGTGAAGCCTCTAAAACAAGAAGTGATGTCGGGACAAGACCTCCGATCATCCTAACAACTGAAATACTAGAAAGCAAAGTAAAAAGAGTCCTCCAGAAAGCAAGAAGGCTCACCAACTGACTCTGAGTGCTCAACTGGATCAACGAGGCCCTGGATGCTGATCATGATTACTTGTATCAGCATCATAAAATGATGCAGGCCAAATGGCATCAGTACATTGAATGTACGAGTATGCGAGGGGAATACTAAACATAACATAACCTTGAAAGGAATCTGAAAGAAACACTTACCTTGGTTTTACTCAACTCATGAATAACTTAACTTAATATAAAGCAATAATACACATGCAATTAGGGCTGGGCATAATATGGTTAAAACCGAAAAAACCGATCGAACCGTATTTTTTTTAATTTCGGTTTCGGTTTTTCGGTTATTTCGGTCGGTTTCGATTTTGATTGTCAATATTTTAGGTTTTCGGTTCGGTTTTCGGTTTTTAGCTTTAAAAAATCGATTAACCGAAAAATAAAATTATATGTATATAATCTTTACCCCATTCCCAGTAGGCCCAATTATAGCTGATAGCCCACAACCTTAATTAAAATTCTCAGCCCATGCCCAACCCAATTCCAATCAAAATTCAAAAATCCCTAAATTGATTGCCCTAAGTCCTAACATCAGATTCAGTTGTCGTCTCTCATCTCTCAACATACGCCGCAGCTCTCAAGTCTCATCTCTCAACATACTCCGCAGCTCTCAAGTCTCATCTCTCATCTCTCAACTCTCGTCACTCGTAACTCGTAAGTCATAGACTCGTAGTAGACTAGAAGTCGTCGGTCGACTCGTCTCTCATCTCTCAACTCTCAGTTTTGTGGATAAATAAAATATTGTTATAACGAGGTTTGGTTGTACCATAATTGTCTAATTATGACGAGTAGTCTAAGAAACGGTTATTG